AAAAAGAAGATAACAAGGTTTATTTTTATTTTCGTCCCTTTTTAAATTTTCCCACGACCTATACTTGTAGAATAAGAAGAGTTAAATCAGCGTTACAGTTTCCAGAATTCTGGTTTGCAAAAATAAAACAAAGATTGACAAAAAGTCAGTTCTGCAAAATATGAACAAGAGGGTTAAAAAAATTAAATAGGAACACAAATATTTTGATTAAATAGTGTCCTAGTGTCATAAACACTCTGTAATTCTCAAGGAAACTCAACGGGGATTTTTATTTCGGGATTCAGGATCGACTTTTAATTCGGGATTAGATAAAGTATAATGTTATAAAGAAATGGAGCTGTGAGTTTTGACTGAAAAAAAGGAAGGTTTGGGAAGNATATGATGGATCATATTGAATAAATTAATTGAACCTTTTTTCTTCAGCCTAGATTCTATCCAAAACAAAAGTCTAAAGTAATTTATCGTAGATTGAAAACATGCATTCGTCTGAGGAAAAAACTAAAAACATGAAAAACTATCGGCCATCAATGGGGCTTTCAAGGGTAAGAATATTTATTGCATTTCTAAGCTTTTTTGCAAATACTGAAACTCACAAATATCGTTCTAATATAAAAAGGTATACATCCAGATAGAAAAAAAGTATAAAAATTTACTAAAACGATCGTTTCAAACGATCATGTTTTATTTTTCATCTTTATTTTCTGTTTCTCACAGGACAACATTTTTGTCCAGTTTTAAGGGAGTTTCTGGCTAAACATGAAGAGAAACTTTTTAGGATTCATTTGAGCATTCTGAGCTCATCATACCATGCCTAGCTTTCAAAAGTTTACGGCGTTTTTATTGTGCCTTTTTTAGTCCGAAACCTGCCAATAGTACCAGAATACTTTAGAATAGGAAGACGACATGAACGCAATACTGTTAAGTACATTTGATGTTTGTTGGATATAGTAAGTTTACCGCTTGTAAGTAAAATGTTTGTTTTTTAACTCACTGTACATTTGCTGTGTCTCATGTTCATTGGACTATTTAAATCCATTTAACTTAAGTCTAAAAATCGACTTCCTATTCCAGAGTTTTCTGGTTCTTCCTGTATATAAAGTCAGTGTCCACAGTATTGGTTTTCAATTCTAGCGATCATCATTTAAACGCAGGGTAAGGATGGTCGGTCGTTGTTATTTATTCTAAATGTCACATAAATTCTTTGTTATTATTTTTCGAAAACAAATTTTAGAATTTTTAAAACGTTTTTCCGACAATTTTTGCCATTTTTTAAAACCTCTCCCTATAGTACCTGAACCAATCAATTTAACTGTATAATTTTTTTAATGAGCTAGCCTTGAACATTTGGTCATTGGACATGTACTGCAAGTGCAACTCGACACCACCTTTACTCTAAAACCTTTCTTAAAGGGGTCGTACGTTAAACAAACATTCAGATCCCCTAGTCTTCACAGGGTTAAAGCGAATTTCTTTACGTATAATAAAATATAATAAAAGCCTATGCCTAATGTAGTCTTTAAATCATATAATGTATTTGGGAACTCTCGTTGATTTGGTTTTTAATAAAACCTAAAGGTAAAAACTAATGCTTTATGCTATGGTTCTTTTATAGATTCGATAGATGACAGGTACAAATTAAAATTCCNGAGCCCAAAACTTAAGACAGGGTATTGTTATAAAAACCAGTTTTGAAACCCAGGTTTCACGAATGGGGTTAGGCAGTTTTGTAGATATCAATATTTTATATTTTATAATAGTTTCTTCATATTCTCCTTTTCTTCGGATCTCTTAAATTAAAATCTACTTAAATGTTAAGACCCCGAAATGGAAACTCGGGAGTTTCATTAAACGATACTCTTTTAAATTTCGGGCTCAGGGGGATGATAGCTTTCAATACGTGTGCTCAGTTAGCTGTACTGTACGCTTACAACTGTTTACTACTAATTATATACTATAGGTTAGGCCAAAATCTCCTGAAAATAAACATATATGCAGTACGCTTAGTATAGTTCATGGCCTATACAATTAGTAAAGCATTCGCGTACATCATCACTCTATACACTGTAACCTCGTTGGATAATACATTTAAATTCTTTTAGGCGCTGTATATTCTTGGAATACCTGTATGTACGAATTTGCAGGAACATTGTGTTAGATCAATTGTAAAAATAGTTTTAATCAATCAAAAGTAGGGTTTCCAGCAAAAGAACACTTTCGCAAAAAACCGAAATTCCGCGAAATTTTTTTTGTATATCGAAAACTTTCCGCGACAACGATGCCGAATTTTGCGGGTAAAATAAATTTGCGACAATTTCACGAAAATTGCGAATCTGTTAAAAGAAAAAAGGCCAAAAACCGAAAACTTTTGCTATATTTTCGGATTTTTAGTTGTTTTTTTATCGATTTTTTTCGCGAAACAGATTAATGCGAAAATTTCTCGAAAAAATACGATTTTTCTGTTTCGCTGGAAACCCTTATCAAAACCTAAATCAAATAATTTGATCAATTTTGGTAACTAATATTTATACAGTTAAACCCTAAATAAGCAATGCATCGAAAGAATTCATCAAATGTCGTAATTCTTCACTTTCTGGTGATGGAATGTTGCAAATATTTAGTTTTTTAATTTAATGATTGGAACTCTTTAAAACAGTTCCCGCATATTCACGGCTATTTATTTATTTTCGCAAATACTGATATTTACGTAAAATAAACTACATTTGATAGATTCTTTCAAAGTATGGCTCATTTAGGATTTAACTGTATTAAACAACTAACTTATAACTGATTTAATCCACAACTTTAGTATGTTGAAGTAAAAAATTATAAATTGAATAAACATAACAGAAATTTATCAAGTTATTTTTTATTTATTTTCATAATTGATAAGAAAAGATATTTTAATAAAACCTAAAGTAAAAAATAAGAACACAGTTTACGTTGCTAGAGATTAAGTCCTGCGTATTTACAATCCCAGTTTGCTGCTAAAAAGAATCAGGTAAAGTATTCACCTCAAATTCTAAAAATTATTAATTGTTGAATTCAAGTATTGACGTAGAGGAGAAACCACAGAGTTGAAGAAAAATATGGCCTGAATTCAAAAAAGAGATTGGGAGATAAATTTTTAGTTTTAATTTAATGTCGTCCTCCAAAATGACCTTAATTGATTTTGCCCACATAGGATGAGATTGTGAAGACGACTGGAATTTCTTTTAAAATGACAATACCATGAGTTTAAATTAAGTCTTCAGCCTTGGATGTTTTCTTTAAATAGCTTCCTAAATGATTTTTGCAAAGAAGGAAATATGTTTATAGTTGCAGGACATCACGAATATAAGGAAACAGAGCTGAACACTTTAGAATGGAATATCCTTAATACCAATCGGTCATTTAATCTGGAGATTAATAAAAAGAGGAGAACAAGCAATATTTAATCTGGAGATTAAGAAAAAGAGGAGATCAAGCATTGATTTCGATATCCACCATTCTAAAGTTTTTAGCTCAGACAGTATAAATTCCTACAATCGTCTCTGAAGTAGGACTGAACAAAGTTCCGTTAACGAAACGGAGATTTTCGAAAATTAACGAGTTTGTTAACGAACGGCAAAAACTGTTTTTTAAATCGTATAACAAGGTATTATCAGTTTTTGAAAAATATTAACAGTTGAAAACAAAACAAAACAATTGTTTAATCTTTTTGCTACAGATTTTTTTATTCCTGTGTTGTCAAATCTAAAAAAATATTTTTAAAAAGCATAAATCTCATTTTAGTTGGAGGAGAGGAACTATTCTTCTAGTTCTACAACTGCTGCGTGTAAACTCCGAACCACTAGGAAAACATAAATACATTATTCGGTTGTTTTTGCGTTACATGGAGGGGGGGGGGGAACAACATTATAAAGCGTATAAAGGGGGAAAGGCGGCTGCTTGTAGGCTCTTGGCATTAAATTTAAATGTATCTGTTAAAGGGATAGGGCACGAGACTCTGATTTGAGGTAAGTATCATATTATTATAAAGATATATATACATATTACATACAGGGTGTCACAAAAAACACGGGAATTCAGTGACGAATTCGATATCGTCTTTGTTATGAATTAGCATTGTAATACCTAATTTCAAAAGACATAATATTATCATGTCTGGTAGAGTTTGTTTTATGGAAAGGGTAAAAGACTTTAAAGATGTGTCTATAATGTCTCCGCAAGATGAACAATGAAGACGAATAAGTTTACTCTGTTTGTATACTGTAATTTTCTTGTTTTACTAAGTACAACCGTATGCAGTCAAAACATAAACAAACAAAATGTAAACATAGCAGACGAAACTCTTACAGATTGCAGATTTCTTAATAGGTATCATTAAACTAAATCAAAGAATTATTTGAAAGACGAAATCGAATTAGTCACTGAATTCCCATGCTTATTGGGACACCCTGATATTAATGGTGTAGTTTTAATTTGTTTTCTTTAAATATAGGAATAATATTAGAAGTATTGATATTAAATATTCCTTGTGCTTCTTCTTAATATTCATTCTAATAGTCTCTAGTGTTATAAACTTGCTATTTCTAAAAAATCTAGTCAGCTTTGCTTGATAATCAAAACATTTTCTGGAATTTATTCATTGAACTTAAATATGTTAAATCAGAAAAAGTATCAAATTTTAATGAGATTAAAAAAGGATTTCATTATTTAGAACAAGTCAGCTCGTAATAAATCAAACAAATTTTAATGCACATAGAATTTTTCAGCCATATTAAGGGTGTAAATCCATTCTTGATGTTTCTAGCAGACTTGACATCCACACTTAATGAATACTTTCTTTGTGAATTAGAATTTATGTTTTATTTAAATATAGATTATCTATTTGGTTTATTTATTATGAAAAGCATGGCTAGCTCGTTCTGTTGATTCTTTACTTGGCATACCAAGAGATATCTGCAAGAAAATTATTATACTAAAAAAGCTTTGTAGAACTTAAAACCTAAATAGAAAAGTCGTCTTTAATTTATTGTATATATACAGGGTGTTCCAATAAACATGGGAATTCAGTGACGAATTCGATATCGTCTCTTTAACTAATTCTTTGATTTAGTATAGTGAGAAAGCTGTAATCTGTAAGTTTCGTCTGCTTTGTTCACATTTTGTTTGTTTATGTTTTGACTGCATACGGTTGTACTTAGTAAGACAAGAAAATTGCTGTATACAACAGAGTAAACTTATCCGCCTTCACTGTTTATCCTTCGGAGACATCATAGACACATCTTTGCAGTCTTTTACTCTTTTCATAAAATTAACTCTAGCAGACATAATAATATTATGGCTTCTGAAATTAGGTATTACAATGCTAATTCATAACAAAGACGATATAGAATTCGTCACTGAATTCCCATGTTTTTTGGGAAACCCTGTATTTACGCTGACAACTGCATGTACGTAAGAATGACAAGGCCCATCTCTGACGCCGAGGGATATAACTTTACTGTAATTTTCATAGGTTGTTGCACGAGGCTTACCAGTACCTCCTGAAACGAAGACGAGCAATAGAAAACAAATAAGATTTTGAACTTTTTTTAATCTCTTCTACATTTTGGACAAAGCAACCTTTTGTCCTGAATAATTAGTAACTATAGTGGTTATTGGACAATCAAAAATGATTGAAATATTTTTTAACCATTATTTTTACAAGCTGAATGAAAAGCAAATTTTATGAAAAATAGATTTTTGATAAATATACGCATAACAATTAGAAAAACTTACAAAACCAACAAATTTTCCCCACTTTGCCATGACTGAGTTTATTCTTTTATCACAAGTAGACTGGGAACAGCATGTCGCTCATTTTTATCTTTAAAATTCACGTTTAAATATTTGTTTAACTTTAAAGTATTGTCATTGATTACTTAAATATTTATAATAAACGTTTCCTGTGTTTTCAAATTGTTTAGTATTATTACTACACATACACGCACCTCTGCCCCTTTAGTGAAAGTAAATTCAACCTATATGAAGCATAAAGTCTGACCGCGTCAACCTTGTTGCACCACCTATTCCTGTCCATAGAGCACGGTACAGTACAAACTGGGAACGGAAAGGTTGACCCGGCTCGGAACTTCAAATGTACTACGGCTGCCCGTGCATACATGACCTCGTATAATATCTAGTTTTCCTTTCCTTACAATCTACATTGAACAATCTACAATCTACATTGAACTATCTACAATCTACAATCTACATGTACCATTGTCCTTGCAAAAGATCTATGTCCTTTGACCTAGATATTCCTCCAACTTCCCTTGTCGTCCTTCAATAAAAACAGACGTTGCTGTCCACAGGAGGTTCCTATAGCTCTGTTACTGGGTTTCCCACGAAACATGACAGTGGGTGAAAAGTTTAAAATGTCTTCCCTCATAATTTATCAAGTTGTTTGATATTCTATGATAAGAATAAAGAAATAATATTTGACAGTTATATCTATGTATATATATACTTTGCTTGGGTGTCTGATTAAAGGTTTATGGATGCCCAGAATAACAACAATTAAAAGTTTAAATAGAAGATAGGCACGAAGCGCCCTAATAGCCTAGTAGTTGTAAAATTGGTTTAAAATTATAATATTTTTGAGTAAAAGATTGGTCAACGAAATGAACTGCAAAAAAGTCTTTAATATCTGATACAGTTTAAGACATTCTAAACTATTCACCAACTTTCATGTTTTGTGGGACACCTTGTATCTAATTAGTGTTACTAAAATGACCCACCGGCCTCCATGCACAAAAGGTTCATCGAGGACAGAGATCTCCCTGTTTATGGTCATGTGTCTGTATCACGTGACCAGTATACTGCACTCTCATTGGTGGGAGTTCTTGTGACGTATGTACGGACNCCAACATCAAAATGTATTTAATCTATCTGCATATTAACCAGATTCTTTAAAAAACGATTTTTATCTAAAATGTCTAAGAGAAAATACAAGCTTCAGTAAGAGTTCTTGTGACGTATGTACGGACTTATAAATAATATTATCAATTATATCTTTTAAAAAATAAAAATAATAAAATAATAATTGGAGAAAACCTAAGTTACAATTAGGTCTCTTTGGGATATATTCGTTTTCAGATTGGTTGCGTATTTGCTGAATATGATTTGTTTAAACCTACTATTTCTATACAAAATTGTATATATATCAATTTTCGTATAAAGACCCAGTTTTATATCAACTTCTCGAGACAGGAAAATTAGACATAATTTTCATGGGTCGCGATCAAGAGCTAAAGTGATTAGCTTTCAGCCTATACTCCCTTTCATTTTTCCTTTACAGTCCCTTTAAGCCCTAATTAGAATGATTTGTAAATTTAAAAGTTATCAGTTTTGGAGGATTCACGCAGATTATGAAATATATAAAACCTGTTCAGGCTGTCCCAAAAGAACCTATCTTAGCTTCATCTTTTGACAAATAATTGTGCATTTTAATTGATGTCGTCTTCACACACAGAGTTTTAAATATTGTTGAGACTTTTTTATTTGTCAGAACAGATTATTTGGCCTTGGTTTCTATCAACACAGGATTGATGTGGCCCCCCCCCCCTTATAGACAAAAAAGCATGTTGCAAATCTTTTTTCTATCCTCTATTTTCTTAAAATACACATCTACCTACCTGCCCACGAATATGACCTATCTATCTATCCTCCATGAGTATGGTAGCGAGGAGGATGATGATGAATTTTCTACGACTGCGCGGCCTCTAAATCAATATCCTCCTCCTCTAGTCACGGGAGTTTACTCAGACCAGGTCCAACCTCCAGTACAGCCTCTATTCATCAACCTCGTCTTATCTATCCAACACAAGGTAAATAATATCAGGCAGTTATAATATAAATATTCCCTCCTTCCCTTGCCCCCCCCCCCCTATTCAAATATCTCTATGTATCAACCCATCTACAATACGTACTAAAAATATGTCTCTGCCTTGTAGCTAACTATATCCGGATCCGTATGCCAGGATTTTATTGCAGTCAGACAGCTTTGGTATTTAATCCCTATGGATATTCTACAAAGTGAAAAGTATAAAATATTGATATTACTGATTTAAATGTTTTTTTTTTGGCAATTTAATTTTGATTTAAAGAATTGTGACACATCGAACAGATGGTTTGTTTAGCAAGGTCACGTGATATCTCTGGGCTTTATTGATCTCAGGCAGGGCTTTATAATTTGGAAATGTGTCAACTTTTAGGCCTATAGTCAATATTCATTTAATATAATTCCGAACTGTCTTTTTTAAGAGAAAAAATATTAATTACTATAAAAATTTTAACAAATAAATAATTCTTGGTTGAATTCTTCGAAACGAACAAAGATGTTCAAAATATCTAAAAAGGTTTTCCATGCAATTTATGTAAAGTAAAAAATAAAGGTAAAAAGTCTACCAGGAAAGCAGATAATAATGTCTTTTTAAATTCTGCAATTATAGTTGCGGAAGATAAATGAAAATGTTTTATCATCGAAAAAATTTTTCTTATTGAAATTTATGAAATATTTGCCCAATCAGCAGAGAAACAAACCTGGCTCGTATTTTTGCATTTCTTTGAATAAGAGAAAAGTTTTGTGGCTTCTGATTGATAAGATCTTTAAAGAATCATAGTAAGAAGTAACTTAATCCGTTGATTAAAATAAGATACGAAAGGTTCTTTGAACGAAAAAAATAATACAAAATTCTGACATCTCATTTTTGTCTATTTAACGGTCATATATCATATTTTACAATATTATTCATTTAGAAAACTTTTTTTATATTTGGTTCTGTCCAATTTTGCTGAAAAGATACAAGCAATCCTTTAATATGAAAATAGTTAAAATAGAAAGTCTAATATCTAGATTGAAAACTAATCTACTATATATTAAGTTGGGTAAATTCTGAGATGTTAAAGTAGTTAATGATTATATTTGCCATCTACAGCTCTATCAGTCCAAACACCATGACCCCCGAGACAAATAAATATAAAAGAAAAATAGAAAAAGTATTTCAAAATAGTTTTAAGATAAATATCTTTTAAAACAGTTTGTTGATACCATGAGCATGAATTTATCCCGAATTTCTTTTTTTTTCACGTTAAAAATACGAACGCGAAGGTATACGAAAAAAAAATTGTTTGCCAAAAATTCTGATTTTTAATCCTTACATATTTGCAACCCGATGTCGTAGACCTTTGATATTTCAAACTATGAATTAATTTAGATTAATTATTCTGACCTTTGAAATGGTAAAGGTTTTAACCAACAGGTTGAAAAGATATAGGGATTAGAAAATTTGAATTTGTGGAAAAAACTCAGTTCCTTTTCTATTTTCAAATTTCCCCCCGATTACCACAAACATTTTTAAGTGTCTCATTGGATTGGGCATTTTTATGATAATATTGATATCTAAAAAACAAAAATCGGGTTTTAATTGAGCCTCTGGCATCAACTGCTGATATCTTCTATATAAGACACCACCACGTATTTTGTTTAATTCCTTTGTAATTTGATTAACTGCAAAAGGAAGCCTTGCGGGCAAAGTACAGGGGTAAACTTTACTTTTGCTTTATCTTTTTCTGTTTTTTTTCTATAACACATATATGTGTAAATTTATATTATATATATATACCAACTCACCTAAGATAAAAAAGTGCCAGGGCTAATTTTCTAGAAACAGATTTTACAGATACTGTGAAATATGACCTAAACAATTACGAAGCCATAAAATATAGAACTATATATATTCTCATAGCAAACCTTCTTAAAAAAGGGTAATTCTTTATTATTACGCAGAGTGTTCCTAGAAAAAACTAGGCTTACACAACTCCGAGTGTTCAAATCTCACTTTTCACTTTTATAATTTTATATTTTCGATACCTCTCCAAATAGAAAGGAAGAGGATTATTTTCAAATGAACTGTACCACCCCTGGCTATAGAACATTCACTCAATTCACTCCCTTTTCACTATCCAACCCCCTTTTATCACTTATTTTGCATGATTTTTTATCTTGTTTTGTGTTCAGTTAACAGCTTGTAAAATACAAAAAGTAAATTCTTTTTAAGATGCATTAAAAACAAAACACAATTCCTTCAACGTTTGCAAAATTTGTTTATTTGAACTAAAAAATGTATATTATGGCCCACTAAACATGATAACTTCGTTGTCGTCTTTGTCTTGAGAATATGATAGTTTGGTAGTTTGTATGTGTACCAACATCAAAATGTATTTAATCTATCTGCATATTAACCAGATTCTTTAAAAAACGATTTTTATCTAAAATGTCTAAGAGAAAATACAAGCTTCAGTAATCACACAAAAGGACTTTTAAAGGGACTGTCCTTGTAATTTCAACTGACCTTCCAATTAAAGAGGAGAATGGCTTATTCACAACGATACTTTGTAAACCTTTATCTGATCAATAATGTAGAAGATAACGTCGTTTTTCTACCTTGAAAAGTATTTAATTTTGAACGATTTCCTCCATTGTTTCTGAAGTAGATATACGTGGGTCAATTTAAAAAGAAATCATAATTGAAAAATATTTCATTGAAAGGAAAGATAAATCTCAATCATTCTTGATCATACACAATGGTTTTAAAATTTGACGTTATGAATCGAACATTTTACCACTTTATAAATTAACCATCGTCACATTAAATTACGCCTACATTCCCTTTATTATCTTTTATTATTATCTTTGTGTTGCATAACTATCAAAATATTGATATTGGAAACTAAGCTAATTACAGTTGCCATGTTTTGCGAGACACACTGTATATTGTTCAAATATATAAAAAAAACACAACATTAAAGAATTTGTGATTGTTTTGTAATTTTCTCCATTAAGTAATTCTAAGATATCCTAAAAATACACTGAATACTTTTTTGGAAATTATTCAGTCAAATTATTAAAAAATATTTTCATGGGCGCTGCAGTTGTTACAAGTGGGTTATCTTTCAATCTTAATTTTTTTTTGGTCTTTTTAAATGTAAAAATAAATATTTTGAATAAAAAGCAACAGAACCAAAACATTGGTTTTGCATGGGAGCACAAGTATTTTCTGGCACAAGTATTGTATTTTGCCTTCCTTACATTTCAAGCTTTTTTATCTTTATCCTGGGAAAATGACCCCAAAATTTGAAACTACATACCAACTCATTCAAAATCAGAATTCTTGAAAAAAAAATAATTCAAAAATCTTCTGAATGAGTTGGTATAATAATTCCAAATAAGAGACTTGGAATTTTGCATGTTTTTGCTTGCAGGTATTAGTGCCCAAAAATGGCGGATGTTGAAAAGGGAGAAAACAAACCAACTGTAGGGCCTGATGGTCGTCCTCTTGGACCCGATGGAAAACCTCTTCCGGGCCCAGCACAGATGCAACAGATCATGGCTCAGAAGCGAATGGCCCAACAACAGGCTCAAGTTGATGAAGTAGTTGGGATTATGCGGAACAATGTTGAGAAGGTTCTAGAGCGAGACCAGAAACTGAATGAGTTGGATGAGAAAGCTGATGCTCTGCAAGATGGCGCCAGCCAGTTTGAGAAAAGTGCTGGAAAACTGAAAAACAAGTTTTGGATGGAGAACATGAAGATGATTGTCATAGGTGGTATTGCAGGGGTCATACTTCTGGGACTCATCTACTGGAATTATTTCGCAAGTCCTGAGCCACAGTACCCTCCTAACTACTATCCTCCACCCCCTCCGCAAAACGGTGCCCCGCAGAAGGCCCCTGTCGGCGGCGAAGACGATGCTAGCGACGACTCATAAAAACATTAACGGCAAAATTCGTAATCGACCTACTTTCGGATCCAACATAGAGTGATTTCGATAATGTTCTAACTTCGCAAAAAATTGTTTCTCGTAATCCATGCCCCTTCATCTCTCTGCAATTACCCTTACAATTACACTGACCAGATTTTTATTTTTTTTTAATCTATCTTATTTGTTCAGGTGGAAATTTTAAAATACTCAGTTATTAAACTTTAAAAATATTAGAGAATTATTTACATAAGCTTCAGAACACCCCACTCTTACGTGTATATGAGCATACACTGAACAATATCTTTTTCAGTGTTTTTTTCCATTATATCTATAATGTATAATGTACTACTTATTTCCCCGACCTAGATATTATTATCTTAATTTCATTCTCCTCTCAGAGTAAAGTTAATTATTATATTTGAACAAAAAAAGGCAATTATTAATATCCATAAGAATTTTTTTGCTTGACTTAATTATGACCTGAAGAATGAATAAAGCTTAATCTATAAAGTTTAATTTTTGAAACATCTGATTCAAATACTCATTTTTTCTATTTTCAACCTTATCTGCTTTAAGAAAGCTTACATGCAAGAAAATGTCATCTTAAATTAGTAAAAATCTTCTTTGATTATTAATATATTTACAAATATTTATTAAAACTAAAATTTGGAATGTTGTAAAAAGTTATCTGAAATATTTCAAATTTTCTAAATGTTCAACATTGTTTATAATTGGTTAAAGAAAAGGTTTATCAATAAACTGTTAAAACATTTATCTGACAAATCACTGAGAAATCCTTCTGTGTTTCTTGCTTTAAAAGGGTCGATACTCGAGATAGAAAGGCTTTGTTATAATGTGAATTGACGCAAAAAGAATTGAATGGTTAGATTAATGAGATAAATGTTCTTTTGATAAAAACAAATAATGTTGGCGGCAGAATTTTGGAATTTGAAAACTAAACTTTAAAAGTGTTTCAAAGATTGTATTTCTTTCCAAAAGATAGACATCAGACTAGAAAAGAAAACGGACTATATCGAGGTTTACCCAGGTAGGTATACTCAGGTATAAACAGGGCGTCCAAAAAAAAGTTATGAAAGAATATCATTTGGACACTTTGTAATTTTTATTTCAATTTGCCAATTTTGCATTTCCCTCGACAATTATACAGGACTTGCTGCAGTATTTTGAATCACCTATCTTCACAGAACAAGACTGTGAATTGTTTGCATGTGTTTTGAACATCTCGGATAAGCATAATATTGCCATTTTCTTAAAGAATTGCACAAAATATTTCTTGTACACTGTACAAGGTTAATTTAAGGAATCTGAATACAGCATTCTAATTCAGTACTGTACAGTGTACATAAACAAGGTTTCTTAATAGTGTACAGCACACAGCTGATAGAAAATGAGTGACGGAGCAGCCGGCAAGGGGGGCGGTGATGCTCCGGCCCGCCCTCTAGGACCAGATGGGAAGCCTATCCCTGGACCTGCTGAGGTTCGACAGATTCAAGCAGCAAGGAAGATGGCACAACAACAGGCCCAGGTAAATATAAAGCGGCGTCAAACCTTATAGAAATCCAACGTATGGATCCGCTACGTATAGCAACAATGCATGGCGTATTTTCCGGGAGAACATTTTTTTATATTTTTGAAAAATTAAACGTTTTTGTAAAATATTGTAGCTTATCATTATCATTATCATAATTTCTATTTTTTTAACATAACCTAAACATTAAAGGAGCAAAATAGTTTAATACGTACATTTTAGGTTTGGAAAAAATTCTTAAAAGTATAAAAAAAAGTTCTCCAGTAATGCTAATATGATTTCATAAAATTTCGTTTGACCATTTAAATAAAAGGATTTTATGAAAATTATATTTACTTTACACTGATAATTTAATTTTCAAAAATATAAAAAATGTTCTCCCGGAAAATACGCCATGTCATGCTATACGTAGCGGGTCCATACGTTGGATTTCTATAAGGTTTGAATACCGTTAAAAATATGCTTTGAATAAGATTAAAATCATTTTTATTACAAAAAAACTATACTGTTTGAAATGAGTAAAAAAAAAAATTGAAAAATATCTAACCCGAAGAAGGTCGGAAATAGAATATCAAGTTTCAATTTTCCTTATGTTCATATTTTTGTCTTTGCAGGTCGAAGAGGTAATCGGCATCATGCACAAGAACGTGGAGAACGTACTTGACCGTGACCGTAAACTGGGAGATCTGGAGGAGCGCGCAGATGCACTTCAGGACGGTTGTGCTCAGTTTGAGAAACAGGTATGAGAAATAATTTGAAACTTTTAAATTTTTTTCATTCGAAAACTTAAGTTTTCAGTTTGATAACGTTCTCAAGACCTCGTAACCTAAAAATCGTATTCTCCCCTTAAATACGGAAGAATACATTGTGATTTATGCTTTAGCAATTTAACTGTTTGACCCCTTCCGCCATGATAAGGGTGTAAAGGAAGATATTAAGATATCTATTTATCTCATTTATCTAGGCTGCTGCAATGAAGAACAAGTTCTGGCTTGAGAACTTGAAATCTATTATTGCTGGTTGTGTTGTCGGAGCCATTGTTCTAGGTCTTCTATACTGGAAGTTCTTTATGGACACTGGTCCACAATATGGACCGCCACCAGGTAAACTGGTCCACAATATGGACCATCACTAGGTAAACTGGTCCACAATATGGACCACCACCAGGTAAACTGGTCCACAATATGGACCGCCACCAGGTAAACTGGTCCACAATATGGACCGCCACCATGTAAACTGGTCCACAATATGGACCATCACTAGGTACGTTGGTCCACAATATGGACCGCCACCAGGTAAACTGTTCCACAATATGGAGCACCACCAGTTACAGTGGTTCACAATATGGACCATCACCAGTTACACTGGTCCACAATACGGACCATCACAAGGAACAGTGGTCCATTATATGGACACCACCAGGTACACTGGTCCCCAGTATGGACCACCGCCAGGTACACTGGTTAACAATAAATATATTTTGGAACTTTTCTGTTAATATTAAAAACAGGGTTGTACTTTTTTATTCTTAGAAATATATTTAAAAAATATATATCTAGATGTTTAATAAAAGAAAAGTATTTTGGTAATCATTCACAAGCGTTAATTTGAGAAATTGAAAACTAAGATACCCAGCTTTGCCTGGAATTACTTTCCCTGTACACAACTGTACACAACTGTTGTACTAAACCTTATTGTTCTTCGGATTTCTAAACCAAAGTTTAGAATATGCGCAATGCATTTCATTATGCATTCCGAGCTACAGCCGTTATAATAATCCCCAAATAAATAGTTAAAATATTTATTCTTTTAGTGCATTTTTTGTATTTGCATAACTTAAAAAGAGCATTGATGTTTTGTTTTATCAAGTTTCCCAATCAGCTAAAGGTCAATCAAAACATGGCCTGTTGATAACTATTCACAATTTCACATAATAAACATTTTTGTCATTTATGACAAAAATACAATTTCTATTAGAAAATAACATGTTTGACTATAGAAGAAGCCCTTCATGGCTTTATAAATCTATAAACTTATTTTAAGGTTATTACCCTCCACCGCCTCCTCCTCCTCAACAACCGGCGGCACCCGCCGCAGGAGATGGATCAGAATCCGCTGAGACAAGTGGCGGTAAGATATATATATATATATATATACAAAATTAACATTTGAAATATTAAGTAAAAACTTTAAGACAAAATAATAACTCCTACTGCAGGTTATTCACAAAGGATGATAATTTAATGACGACCTCAAACTATTTAAATTTAGCGATTTAACGGTTTAATTCGGATTTCTATTTCGAATCTATGATCTGGCTGAGGAATCAATGAATGTAAAAAAGGCCAAATAAATTCTGTAGATTCGTCTCTGAATTCTCATTCTTTGTGAGTAACCCACGCTCCAATTTTCCAATTTCAGATGCTGGAGACGATTGAATTCAACAAAATTGAACAAAATAAGCTTTTGACGGACGGAATTAAGTGTTATCCGTTTACTTTCAAAATATATTCAAACATTTACCCGACCCGTTCTAATTTTCGGTTTGTTAAGAATTTATTGAAAATTTTATTTCTGTTTTCTTTTTCATGTCCTATTACCTATTAAAGATTATTGATGTGTTGATAAAATGAATAAATCATACATTATTTCAAATATATAATTTGTATCCCTCTGATCTCTGATTCCGGGACTAAGGACTAAGGAGACACTAATAATGCAATGTCGCCTTCTGATATAAATTACTTAAAAAGCAAAGTTTGTGTAATCTTACCAGGTTGGTTTGCTAAACAAATAAATGTGCCAGAAAATTGAACATCAAAAATTAAGAAAAGAAAACACCTTTTTTATGTACTTGAAACTGGGAAGAACACAGCTTGGGGGAAGAAAAAAAATGAAGATGAAGTCTTTAAAAAAAAGCTTATTAAAAAGACAGGAAAAATACACATTGAAATAAAAAAAAACATGTGGGAACATTGATAAGGGAAACTATTTATACTAATTTTGTCATATCATCATAAACAGTGATATATACTGTATTTCCACCAGCCAAAACTGAACTTTCTCATTAGTATTTCTGATTTAAAAATTCAGTTTAATTCTTATTTATTTCCTCATATTTGGCGTATTTTTACCTACATATGATGTACACACAGTATACTGCATGAAATAAAGTGGTTAACATTCTTAAAAAAGGAAGGAACGGTTCTGTTTCTAAGGTAATAGGATCATTAAAATAGTATATCGTTAACGTACTACTAACGTAAATAAGAAATAGTCTGATTTTTAGATCAGATATACTTATGAAGAAATCCGTTTTTGGCTGGCGGAAATACAGTAGATTTCAAAATAACTGGTTTGCGGAATAGTAAAGGATAACATTTTGAATATTGCTAATAGCTGGACACTATTTTAAAAGGGAGTGACCGGGAAGGAGGAAAAGTTTAGTGGAGAGTGTAACTTTATAAAAGAAAATATTAGGATTCATTTGATATCAGCATTTTGTTTTAATATTGTTTCTATATTTACTGCAAATGGGTTTAAAAATATTTATCAACTTGTCACTATGAAGTGGAGTCTGCCCCATGAAGTGTATTTTTACAAATGTTTAATGATCTTAAAAGAAGTGTTCGCGAAATCATACTACTAACTTCTATCTGTTGCGTCCATAAGGAGAAAATTGTTAAACGACTCATGTTGAAAAGCATAGCGTCCATACAAATTAAGAAAGTTGCAAGGTAAAATAATCAATTTTTAATTCCAAACAAATCATTCAGAATTCAGATATTACAAACAATAGCCATCGATTATTTTTCGACGCATTCGTATAAAGTTAATACTTAATAATATTTTTGATTTTGTTTTTTAAAATAATATTTCGCTGGCACTGGATTTTTGAACATTCCTGGAAAATATAAAATGTCGTCTTCATTATCAAAAATCCTCGAAACAGGAATATATGTAACTATCTGATCATAACAAATAAACAATATTACGCAATTACGCTGCAATTATACAACGAATGCTGATATTAAATGAATCCTAATATTTCATTTATAATGATATTGTTATCTGATTAAGCCGAAAGAAATGCATTTATTTTATAAAGCCATACCACAAAAATGGAATTAATTAGAAATATTAAACTCTTTAGAAATAAATTGCATTCGGGGAAAACAAGTTTGTATCTGAAGTTTTAATGTTCAAGGTCAAAAAATTGTTTGTGTACATCTGAATAAATAAATCTGTCATCCAAATGCCTGAGCTATTAATACCTATCAATTTGCAACTTGATTTTGTATGATTTAGAAATAATGCCAGAAAAGTTGACAACCTCTGCGGTTTGGCTTTGAAGACGGCCAAGATCAATGCTGGCTTGGCAAATCCCAATGACAAAGTGAAATATTAAATAAGTTTGAGTTTGTAGAGAGAATTGTCGATTTAAATTTTTTTAATCTAAGGAAAATTGACGATATGTTAGTTTTATGATGCACGAAGAAAAATGACGGCTTGAAGTTGAAAAGAAACATTTCAATACTAAAAATTTTACAAGAAAGAGGCGCGACACTCTTTGCACTTAAAATATCAAATATGATAAAGTATTCTATAAAAATATGAATCACTATATTAAAAGCAAAAAAATTAATGTAGCATTCTTTTATTTTTACTCCACGACATGAAAACAAGAAACCAAATTCTATAATAAAAATGGCTTTACTTTGACCTATTCGTCTTATGATTTTAGAAAACTGTCTTAATTGTCTTTTCTCTCGCATCTTATTCAGCTATTCTAAGATCAACTTCAGATGAAGCTTCTGTAATAGCTTCCTCTGCAGCAGGCTCGTCAGCAGTTACCTCTTCCGCTACTGGCTCTTCGGCAACAACCTCTTCAGCAGCAGGCTCTTCGGCAGCAGGCTCATCAGCAGCAGGCTCTTCAGCAGCAGGTTCTACGGCTGCGGGCTCTTCAGCAGCAACCTCTACAACTGCAGGCTCTTCGGCAGCAGGCTCCTCAGCTGCCTTAGAATCAACCTCTTCGTCAACTACTTCGGGTGCAGCCTCAGCAACAACTTCGGGAGCAGCCTCAGGAGCAGCAGCAACAGGAATGTTAAAAGGGACACCAGCGAGGGTGTAAGTGTATTTAGGAATTACAGCTGGAGTATTTACAACTGCATGGTTATAGTAAGGAGAAGCAGCATACCCAAAAGGAGCAGCATAGCCGTAATGAGCAGCAGCGTAGGTAGGAGTTAGGATCTCATGCTGATGCTGTCTTTGAACAAGCTCTATTTTAACGGCATCTGCTGGTGTTTCCGCATCAACCTTCTCGAAACCGGATGTTTGGTAGGTTATTGTGCTTTTAGCTAGAGTAGGGTAATGGTGGTAGGCGTAGGGGGAGTAGAGGTGAGGAGCACTCTGGGCAACTGTGGCGCAGAAAAGAACAATCTAGGATTAATCAAAAATTATTTAGCTTTAAATAGTTGTAATGGTGATTTTTAAATATTTCATATAATTCCTGTTAATTGTTTATTTATCTTCTAAATAAATTTCTCTGGTAAAAGGAGAAAAATAGTTAAGTTTAAGGTGTCAGTACTTGCAGCAACAAAGAAAAAATAAATATAAAGGGAAAAATAAAAAAAATAAAATAAAAATAAAGCAAGAAACTCAAAAGCCATAGTAAAAATGTGCTAGAATTTGTTTTTTCTTCAATTTTTTAAATTTAGCTCTGGGTTTTTGTTGTTAAAACCTTTGTAACTTTTATATTAGGTATAGTACGTAAACATGAGACTGTGAAGAAGACATGAATCTCTTAAAGTATGAAGATTCTAGTGTTAAATGAAGTTTTCTGCCTTGACTGTAGTCTTTAAATTGCTTACTAAATGATATGACAAAGAAAGAAACAAGTTTACAGTTGGAGGGAATCATGAATATAAGGAAACAAGTAAAAATTCCTAACAGTCGTCTCTGAGTCTGAAGTCTCATCCTTTGTGGGTAAAGGTAAAGGTTTTAATTTTAAATCTTTTAATCGCCCCTCATGACTTATTTCCCCGCTCTGAAAGAAGAGGGGGGGGGGAGTAATTAGAATATTTTCCCCCACACAACCAAAATCTTTAGCAGTTTAATTGCACGGCTCTGGTTTTATGCTGATTATAAGCGCGCATGCACATACCAATGTTTTCATGGTGGATGGATACGTTGAACTGGTGAATAAAACCAAAGCAACAGAATATATAACCACTATATGCCCCGCCCACTAAACCGGCAAGAGCCCCTCCCCCCTCCCTTGCCTAATATACAACGCCCAGCTATTAAAAATGAAAGCATGGTCAGGATCTGAACGCCTGTCTGCTAAACAATGAAGATTATAAAAGAAAAAATATATAAAAGGAAATAATTTATTAAACAATGACGACAGTTTTTTTGTGTGAACATTTTTTACTTGTTCTCACAGTTATGAAGTGGAGTGGCCTGTTTTGTTTTGGATCAAATATAAATGCCCGAAGCTTCTAAAGCGTCTATTTTTAGAATATATAATCATAATCATATAATCAATTTTGAAATGCATACAAGATTTTTATAAAACGTATATCTGTACTATATAGATAATTTTTAAAAGAAGACATATAAAGTAAAGTGCATTTAAGGATTCAAGATGTTTATAAAAATGTGTAGTTTTAATTTTGATATAAAAGATGCGGTAAAATGTATTTCCACCTGCTCTCACTAGACCAGACAAGACCAAAATTATGGGGATTTACCGACTTACCTTGAATAACTTGTCTGGTTGTGATTTTACATTAGATAATAAGAGAGAGAGAGAAATAGACTACATTGGTTCAACAAAATTACTTAAAGGGAGTGACCGGCAATGTAAGGTAGTTGAACTGAGTATGCAGTGTTGTGGAAAACGTCTTTCATTTGAGACATACTAAACTTTTAAAAGATCTGTAAATCCTTTCAGAATCGGGGTTTTTTAAATTAATAAATAACGACGACGAAAAATAAAGTAAAAATCACACAGTAATCTATAATTAGATGGTTGGGAATATATTTCTCAAAAGAAATTTGTCAATAAATCAATGCTAAAATCAATTATTTCGTTTTTATTATTATATTGAGTTTCTTATTTTCTTTGAATTTATTCGCAGATTTCTTTAAATTCGTCAAAAGTCGTTTTTTCAATAATAGTTCTGGAAAATCTGCAGAAAACCACACGAAAAATGAGGAACCATTTTCAGGACTAAAAATAAATTTAAAATAAATATGTATATTTATTTTGATTATAACAGCTAATTTTTATTTTTTCAACCTGTTCCGATAAATGACGTCTGTACTTTATTGAAGAACATGTTACATTTTATGTCGTCGTTATTTAATAATTAAAAAAAAACTAATTCTGAAAACGTATCCACCCCCAAAGTAGGAGTTTTGAACGTCAAATTTGCGCTCAAACTCATGATTTACAGATCTTTAAAAAGTTTAGTATGTCTCAAATGAATCCGAAAGAAGTTTTCCACAACACTGCATACTTAGTTCAACCACCTTACATAGCCGGTCACTCCCTTTAACACGTTTTTCTCAACTGTTTTTTTAAAGCCATCAAGATTTCAATCTAAAGTAAGTTTTACCATGGTTTACACCAATATGTAATCGAAGTTTTAAATACGTATGCATACGAAATCAGATGTGTGGATACTAGATGTAATTTGTTATTAGTTCACCGTTCAAATCTCCCCACATAGATACAGACTGAAAAAGTTTGCAACGAAAAAAGTTAAAATATCCACATTTATTTATTTACACAATTACATTCCGATAAAACAAAAACCATCAGCTACTGTAATAAAAAAAAAAACAATTTCATTGTGAATATCTAAACGGTTCTTATATTTCAAGGCGTTATGATACCATCTATGTATTTTGTGGTAAAGTACTGTATATATGCTAAAAACCCAGGGAATAAGAATGAAACCCCGGTCAAACGCAAAGCCTTTGTTTAATGCTTGAATTACGGCGCAATAAGTACAATATTGTTTAGGGCATATAACCAATATAATGAATCAAATTTGAATTTATTTAACTAGGCTTTCAGGGCGCTTCGCACCCATTTTCTAAAACAATTGTGAACATTTTCTCTTTAATTGTATACATTGTAAAAAAGTTCGCGGATTTTATAAAAAAAAATCGTGGATTTTCAAAATTTAATGAAATTCCAATTTAGTTGGAGGCTAATTTTTGAAATTTTGATCATCCTTAAACTTTCCCTGGGGTCATGTGATGTCCCACACAAAATTTGGTTCCAATCGGTTAAGCCGTTTTGACAAGGGTGTAATTTACAAGTGTTGTAAAACCCATATTTAACATGTAGCAGACATATTTATCTCTAATTCTGCTCCACGGGACCACGACCCCCCACCCCTCTCCCCTTCCCAAAAAATAAACAATGCCACACAGCTCTGCTACTAATTAGTAATTGTAAATTGTAGGTACATTCCAAACTAGGCTCGCAAAGGTTGGCCCATTATGGATATTCAAATGTACACCGGTTGTACGTGAATGCCGTCCCTATCTCTGAGAATCCCTAAGCAATTGGATTTTATTTAAATGAACTAGGGGTGTACACAGGAAATGGTCCCGAGGAGAGCATACATTTTTTTCTCCAATAATATGATTGTAGTTAATGCCCTACTCCAACAAATACTTTTAGATCAGTACCAATCCAGGTATAACCATTCGTGTCCTTATGTATATGTCTTGCAAGATAAAACTCCACAATTTCAAACCGATACGACTCTATCTGTATTCTCAGGTATCTGTCTTACAAGTTACAACTCAATTTAGAACTCCAGGTTCCTCAATAATACTTTAGTCAATATCAAACCGGATACGACTCTATCTATATTCTCAGGTATCTCTTTTACAAGATACAACTCAAATCTGTCCCGTTTGCTACACTCGGATATATTACTCTCACACCGTAATCAATCAGAGTATTATTCCAACTAAAGTATATTTTGAGTCTTATGATACAGGTAAATTTAACGCGCGTAATTAGGCTAAATCATAATACAAGTTTTACGTAGTGATTTACAAGAGTAGTTAATTGATAATGAGCATAACTAGTTTACAGATAATGTACATTGTAAGATAAATATAGGTACGTTCAGGTTTACAGATATAGGGTTTACTACGATATTTGCTAAATGGGGGGGGGAGGGAGTTTTTTAACAATAGGGCTAGCTTTCAATTATACAGCATCCTCATTAGCCAACAAGGCTCCCAACCTCATCGCTTCAACTGTAGGTTTCTTTTTATTCCAAAGTCGGCCCCAGTCTAATGGGATCCTAATGATGAGATAAGCAACTGAGGGTGTCAAACCAAAAATCAGGACGGCTACAATGATAATGAGGGTGAAATACTCTATAGTTAAGCTGATAAGGATAAACTCCTTGATCATTGAAAACTCCCTTGAGACAAATCCCAAGGGGTTGAGATCATCTAACAATTCTGCTCATCTGGACTGTACATCGCTGAGCATTCCATCCAAATTGAAGACCCAACTCAGCATATTACTTGAACCTAAAGCACATTTTTCCATAACAAACAGTGAGTTCATGATCTTCTGGTGGGAGTATTTCATATAACTGGGAACACTCTTATAATCCTCCTGAGACAGTTATTTAATCCTATGTTATTTGTGATGCTTAATGGCGTTTTCTGTATAATGAACAAATTGATCCAACCAAACCATATGATGCTCAACAAATCTGTATACTGGAAGTGAAATTAAAGGAAGCATTTAAGATCTGGCATGAGGGAATAGTAGCAGGACATCGAGGAGTTAGCGTACATTAGACAAATTTCAGAGAATGTTTTTTGTAAGATCAGCATGTGAAAAGAACCGAAGATTAGTAAAACATTGTGATATTTGTTTATCTAAGGAAAGGGACAAATGATGCTAATAAAGGAGAGAAAAATTGAGAAACCAATGATGTTAACAAAGGAGAGAAAAATTGAGGAGCAAATGACAGTAATGAAGGAAAGAAAAATTAAGGAACCAATGATGTTAATAAAAGAGACAAAAAATCTAGGAAACATTGATGCTCAAGAAGGAAACAAAATTTGAGGAAACATTGATGCTCAAGAATGAAAGAAAAATCAAGGAACCCTTACTGTTAAAGAAGGGAAGAAAAATTGACAAGCCACTGATGTCCAAGTTTAAAATTGGTGAAATTATCAGAAAAATCTCTTCTGCATCAGCTAAAGTGAAGGAAGTTTACAAAAAGGTACAACAAGGCTAGTTAGAATAGATGTATTTATGGAGTTAAGAAGTGAAAATAAATAGCATGGTTTTCTGAGCAACCCAACCAGAAATAAGACAAGAATAGATGTATACAAGAGACAAGACAAGAACGAAATCAAAGTATGGATATTATAGGGATCGTTAGCCCTATAATGATCCACATTCCTTCCCTCCCACCCAATTTTAACAAATATAGTAATAACCCCTATATCGTTAATCTCTGAATAGACCTATTGGTAAATTACATTTTTACCTGTACCATTAAACCCAAAAAAAAGTTAGTTGAATATGAACTCTGTTTGATTACGGTAAGACATATTAGTTCTCGGTAGAGAAGTATAGAGTTTAAGAGCAAGTTGTATCTGGATTGATACATACTAAAGTATTATTGGAGAGGATAGAGTTCGAGAGCGAGTTGTATCTGGATTGATACATACTTAGGGATGTTAACGTTTTCATTTTTTTTGAAAAACTATCGTTTTTTTTGTTTTCCTATAGTTTTTTGTTTCGTTTTCCGATCGTTTTAAAAACTATCGTTTTTTTAAAAAGTTTTTAAAACAACTGTTTTTAAAATGATCGGAAAACGAAACAAAAAACGATGGGAAAACAAAAAAAAAGATCGTTTAATGATCATTTTCAAAAACAATTAACAACCCTATACATACTTAAGAATACAGAGAGAGTTGTATGTATCTGGATTGATACAGACTAAAGTATTAATGGAGTAAGGCATTAGGTACAGCCCAATTTTCAAATTTGTTACCAACGAGTTTCTTTAATTCATGTTTTTACATCCAATAAAAACAGGTATTCCAAACAAGTACATGACAAAAAAGACCATTTAGAGTCAAAGAAATTACATTTTTACCATAATTTTATTTTGCTGTGTTCTAAGCATTTAAACGCTTGTTGGAAAATTAATGGTTAGAAACAAGAAAATAA